GTGTAAATTGTGTGCATCTTTTTTGAAGAGGAGGAACAAATCCTAACCAGTAACATACATCCTTAATGCATTCACCCCTGAAACCGTATAATGAACTATTCCAACCTTTGAATTGGAAGAGTTCAAATGTGTCTTGAGGGGTGAATGAGTTAACTGTGAACAAACCTAACCAGGTAACATACATCCTTAACTATGAACTTAACACAACTTTTTAATGATATGAAATATTTCTACAATAAAAAGACTATCGTTATGGAATATTACTTTCTAATAACTATTTAACAACAAAAATTAATTTCAAAATGAGAGTTGATCCCATTTTACAAAAGTATTTGCAGAATATATATATCAGCATATACAATCAATTTCTATTGGTAGGACTCATAAAAAACAACAGCTTACAAAATGATGTCATTGGCTTACACAAGTGACTACAAAATGACATCATTGGCTTACACTAGTGGCTACAAAATGACGTCATTGGCTTACACAAGTGGCTACAAAATGACGTCATTGGCTTACACAAGTGGCTACAAAATGACGTCATTGGCTTACACAAGTGGCTACAAAATGACGTCATTGGCTTACACAAGTGGCTACAAAATGACGTCATTGGCTTACACAAGTGGCTACAAAATGACGTCATTGGCTTACACAAGTGGCTACAAAATGACGTCATTGGCTTACACAAGTGGCTACAAAATGACGTCATTGGCTTACACAAGTGGCTACAAAATGACGTCATTGGCTTACACAAGTGGCTACAAAATGACGTCATTGGCTTACACAAGTGGCTACAATATGAAAAGCATGACACACTAAAATGACTAGACCTACAAATGTATATTCTATGTTTCATGCTAGACAAGCAATTTCAGAAAGTTAGTTTTTCTAGCTGATACACTCCAGAATTAAATTTCAAACTGATGGTAATAAATTGTCTATAGATAAGGATCAAGAAAAATATTTTATATTATGCTAAAATGTGCGAACATAAATGGAAACAAATTTATTAAAAAATATAATGAAAAATGTGGCAGCTCTTAAGAGGTTCTCCAAAAGAATGTTAGAAGGAGACAGTTACTTGTGAAAGGCCTACAGATGGCGCCACCTTTTTATCATATTTTGAAATATCATATCATCTTTGTCTTACATATGTATAAACATAAAGCCATTAATTTTTATTTTGAAATAAGAAGAATTATATATACTTCAAAGTATTCCTAGTGATAGATCATTTTTTTATCTATTTTTTTTTAAATTCTTTCCATTATTCAATTTCCCCATGTTTAATGTACACCAACAAAATTATAGCAAAGAAAACAACAGAACGACTACAACAAAGATGAGAAAACAACACTATTACTACAACATAGAATGGAAAATAACACTACAATATAGAATAGGAAACAACACAATACAACACAATAAAACACAAAATGGGTCACATCATAAAATCAAAAAAGGCTGGGAGACGGAAAAACATTTGTTTCATTGAAAATGGTCCAAATTTTTCTTTTTTATTTCACATTACCATGTTATTTTTATAGTTTTCTCAACGACAAATACTTTGCATTTTGTTTTAATACCAGGAAACCCTTGGGTAATACTTTTCTACCGAACAGGTTTTCCTAGAAATGTATAACAACAGAAAACTCAGCACAACTCAAACTTGTCTGGGTCAACAAAGATGTTTGAGAAAAGAATACATTTTTAAGGACGACAATAAATGTGAAGGTGGGAGTGCTGGTGGGGTAAGTTATGCAAAAGCATATGCCCTCGATGTTCCGTATAAATTTCATTCAACAGAAAATTACTAGGACTTTGTTAAGTTGAAGTTTATGGAATTTATCAAATTTTAAAGCCTTTTTTTTACAAATTTTGAACAACTTTTCGTTTTACAATATTCAACCTTCGTATCAAACAAAATAGGATAAAGATTCATACCTACTACCAATGTCTTGTGGTGCATCTGTATATGACCATATAGGATTTATGTTTAGAGCAAGCGCGTGAATGAACTCATGTAAAAAAATGCTGTGTGAATACAATCAAATGCTGTAATGACAAAGCTGTAATGACCAAGAATAATGTTTTAACTGGATATGTTATATAATCTGGGTAAGTTAATTCATTCACCCCTGAAGACACATTTGAACTCTTCCAATTCAAATGTTGGAATAGTTCATTATGAAATTTCAGGGATGAAGGAGTTAAATACAAAGCTTAAGCCAAAAATCAACTTCTTGTCATCAGCTTTCTTAATAATAAAAAAATATTATTTTTCAACAAAATCATAATTATGATGATAAAAAATCACTGTACACTTGACAAAATTATCTTTGCTGATGGAATTTTTCTGGATGCAATTTTTTTTTATTAAAAATATTGAGCATGTCATGAAGAAAGAAAATGTATTAAACATTTCAGAGTTTCAGAGAAAATGCTTAAGAAGAATGAGTATCAACATCGAGTTATGCTGTGAAACATGCCATTAATCAAGAGTTATTTCCCTTTGGTAGCTAGTGACATCACAAAACAATATTCACATTTAATTAGTAAAACTCTATCTGAACAATGATTCTTTTGATTAGATAGGAAAATTGTTTACTCCAATTGAAATAAAAAGGTAAATAATAAAATGTTTTTCAATGTATTAGTATGCACATGCATATTATGAATACCAATATACTTCCCATAATGTTTTTCACAAAAAGTTGGTAATGGCAGGAACAATGATTTAGTGATTTTCAACTATAACTAATTTTGCAATATATCCCACAATATTATCTTATACAATATAAGAAGATACAGATATTGAAACAAATACGCATAAAAGCTGTTGAAAATAACAAACTATACATGATACCTCATGCATTTATTCTCTGATTTCCAAATTGGATTTATCTGCACTGAAATGTAAGTTATCATCTTACAGTTTAATCACGTAATTAAGTTACTTGTATACAGTCAATGCCTAGTCTCAGAAAAAAGTTTCTGGTTTTGGAAAACAGATTTATGTCAATCAAGATAGCATATATCTTTATACATAAATGGAAAAAAAATGGCAAAAACCTGAAAAAAAAAATCTTGCCGAAAACTTCTACAACATTGAACAGTACAAATACTTTCACATCTTATTGGATTTTTTCAATGCTAAGAAAATGGTCATCGTCAACAAATACCTGTAACTTGCATTAATATTTATTACATTAATTAATATTCATAAATTCTAGAAAATATCTCTTGTCAAATCTAATGTCTAAAAAATATACAAGTTAAATTCTGGCTCGGATATCACTACATCTGAACCCTTTCACCCCTACGTAACTTTGGTAGACTCAACCATGCATTGATATGGATGAGTCCATTATGATCTACAGTGGTAAAAGGGTTAAATGTTCTTTGGAAAATTAGTTTTTACATGCAGAAGTGATAAATTCTCTAAGGTTCAGATATGTTGCATTGAAATAATTCCACATGATATCATAACTGATTTGCCTCGCACAAATCCAGTTGAAATGTTTCAGAAAATTGTTAATTTTAAAAAGCAGAGGTTGTAATAAGGTGGGTTATCTCCCATTCTGAAGATAAAAGATTATATTTGAAGAATCAACAAATATCATTTCACTTTAAGGATATGTGCATCCTTATACTCTATGCATGCAATTACTGTAAGAGTTACCTCCCTTATTTTTTTAAACTCATTCACCCCTGAAGACACATTTGAACTCTTCCAATTTAAAGGTTGGAATAGTTCATTATGAAACTTCAGGGGTGAATAAGTTAATTCATCATAATTGAACAATACAGAATTACCCGTATAATCAATGCATTTAATTATAAACTCCAAAGCATCAAAATAAGAAATGAATAACTTGACAAGGGAAGTGACTTTGTCAAGAACAGTGAATACCTGGTACACCAAGTTTTCTGAAGTGGTAATCTTTGTTTATAACCAGTGCAGTGAAGATACCCTTCATCTCAACCCTTTCACCCCTATATAACTTTAGTAAACTCTTCCATGCATTGATCTGGATAAGGCCATTATGGTCTACAGTGGCGAAACGGTTAAATAGATGCTGCATGCTTAACATATTGCTTATTAAAAGCTCAAACTATTTTTGTTACCTTCTTTTGATTATTTTGTTTTATTTTTTGTAATTTTGAAATGTTTATAAGTATTTTGGTTTCAATAATGAGGTAATGTTAGAAATTTGGTGTTTGATAAAAGAACTGTTTATATCAAGTAATATTTAAAGCTTTTGAATTTTTTGTATGTGGGATTGTCTTTTAATCATGATCTATTGGTGAAATGCCCGAATAATTTTTCAAGAACAGACACATTTTCTTTTTAAATCTAGGGTATTTTTTTAAATGTTCAACTTTGTTTGTGTGTTATGACTCGTCCATAAGGTTTTATCTCTGAGGACAATCTTGGTAGCATGGATGTATTCATTCCCTCATGCCTAGCAAATATATACATGTAGTGTTAGGGTGTGTACCACAGCAATTGCCAAGGAACAACCAAGGGACTAAGTCCCCAGTGGTGGGGAAGGACCCCTGGGCCAATCTTGGTGACATGGATATTTGTCTCTTTATACTCACTACATGTATTTGTATATGAGATCAAAAGGTTGGAATCTTGATTGCTTTTGAGAATTAGAGCTTTTAACACAAAAGTCTTTAAAAATTGCAGGCAAACACCTCTTAGGTGTGGCACTAACTTAATTTATACAATGGGTTGTCCCCTTGGCCCATGACTAGTCCAACCAAAGATCAGTTAAGATCCTTTCTCAGGTACAGAAGGCGTAGGATTTTACAGGATTACCTTACTGTTTTGAAATGCTTCATATTTAAGTCTTGCTTATGACAAGGAAAAAGATTTATAGCCATTTACCTGATACTCTGCCTCATCAAGCATTATGAAAAAATCTCTTATTCCATTTTTTTTTATTTCAAGGATACAAAGAAAAGAAACAGACATGACATTCAAGAAATAGGTTTGGAATTTCATTTTAATATAAAAGAGTAACATAAAGCTATAATCTTATCAACACAGTGGTACAGTTACTTAGCAACAAATATTGATACAAATGTTCTGTCTTAACATGTAAATGGACAACTTTTACGGAAAATGTTTACAAACCAAAGAAGTTTAAGGATGATTTACAACTGACAGAAAAAAACGAAATGAAATACAGATAGAAGAAATCAATGTTATTTATAGTTCTATCATAAAATATTATGCTAGAAATCTCACAAATGTTGAGCACTTGTTTACCAACCTTTTTCAAGCAGGTTAATAATATCATCAGTAATTCAGTAAAATAGTCTAATAAAGTCCATTTAGAATTGTGGTATATTGATACACCAATTCAAAACAGTCCAATTAAAGCTTAATTTTATAATGAGACAATTTTGATATATTTATCATAAAACAACCCCAGACAATAATAATTCAAATATAACCCAGTATTTAAAAAAAAAAAAAAAAATGATGAACAAAATGTCAGTTTTACAAAAATGGAAAATTCATCATGAAGTGAAAAATAAGAATTTCAAGTACAATCTGTTATCATTTTTTTTTAGTGTAAAAAAGCTTTAATATTGTAAATAATAAATATTTTAAAAAAGGGAGACAACCCTGTGGCTTTGAAACTTGCTCCAACTGTTACATTAGCTACTACAACTGTTATACTCTGATAATAAAATTGCCTATACTTCTTCAGAACTATGTGAAAAATGCAGCAAGAAAATTGTCTCCAGATAATTGAAAAACTGACTGTTCATTGATAACTTGAGCTCTTGCCTGGTCCATTATTTTAACTGGTGACCGACGGGCGGAATTTTGATCATCTCGTCAAAACTTTTGGTAGATTTTTTCACGAACTTGATTGGAGATGAACTTAACAACAACAACAACATTATCAACATGTTAATGGTTGTTTTTTGTGTAAATTTCATAAATCTTCCCCAGAATCATTTATATTTCATTGTTACCAAATTTGGACATGACAAAAAAATTCCAGTTTGGCCTCCAAGTCTAGCAAAAAAAAACACCTGTAACCCTCAACCGAAGCCAACAAGTGTATACATTAATTTTGTACTCTATCAGAAAGAAAGAATTCTAATAATATTACCATCTTTATTGGTCTCATAATATGCAACAAAGTATCAAAAAATAGATGATATCTTTACTGTTTGAAGCTTCAAAATATGCATTTCATGATCTATTAGAGGGTACTAGGATTTTAATTATATTCAGACAGTAGGCTTAAGGATAGATGCTACCTTACACAACATAATTTTTATTTGTTTTAGAGTTCTCTCCCTTCCAGCAATTCCAGAGTGGAACTCTTTTTTTTTGTAATGAAGTACATGTTACTGTAAGATAGCTTACATCCCTAAATATACATTTTCTCTTCTAAATTTCAATTTTCAATTTGGCATAAACTCAAGACTAAATTCGCATACATTAAATTACATGTACAATTTGACACCACAACATAACGTGAACATGGTAGTTCTGAACCCGTTTTCAAAACGTTTTGAATATCAACAGTATGAACATACAATATAACTTTCTAAATGTATGTTGAACAAAACTGTTCAATCCTAAGGCATTTTCAATACATATGCATAAATATATTTATTTGAAGAGTAAAGATGTGGTGAATTTAACCCCTTCACCACTGTAGACCATATGGACTCATCCATTTAAATGTATGGTATAGAGTCTATTAAAGTTACCAAGGGGTGAAAGGGTAAAGTGTTTTATCAATTCACTCCTGTGATATGTGGTAACTACGCTGTTGTAATAATTAACAATTATGGACATTTAATGAGGTCAATACATTGTTTTATAGACCTGAATGAGTAACCTAATCTGAGGATATTTTTTTTTGCAGATCTATATATATATACAAAAGACTTAACAAAATTGAAAGTCTGATTTTTGTAAACAGAAAGAGAAAGTCAATCAATAATTAATTTAGATGCACATTTTTACAGTACATCTGCAAAAATTCTTGTTTATGGAACAAATCTTATCTTCAACTTATTACACAATGACATGTGACATCAACAAGAAATTTGACACAAGGTCAAATACTGCGTCAAAGTCACTGCAATAACATATGTGACATATACAACTTATAGTTAGTGTGACCAACCTTTTACAGCCACTTGAAAAATAACTGAATGCAAAATAATGCCATTAATATTCCCCATTCAAATACAACTTACAAGCAGTTCAAAGTAATGGCCACATCCTTCGAGTATCAGATTTTTTTCCAATTTTATTCAGACTATTGCTTTTAATATTGAGCTATCTGATGATAATTTTAAAGCATAATATAGACATATAATAAACAAAGCTACAACCATCACATATCAGAAACTGGATATCTTATGTCACATTATATAAAGTCCACTCACACATTCAACCTCTTACACTTGTACAAGGGGAAGGAACTCTACCACCTGATGGATGAGACAATCGTCTTTTAATGCACAGTAAACATATCTCAAACAATGTATTCAATCAAACCATGTGTATCATGTAACTAAGAGTTTTTGTATTTGAATTATTTGAAAAGTATTTCTTTTTACAATACATTACATCTGTCATTATATTTCATATACCATATTTATATATCCAAAGGCAAACCCATTAGGCTGTCCCTTGGGGTCAGGAACATTTTATTAAGTATATAAAGCTGTATTTCTACAGCTTTCACACCGCCCTCCCGACAATATGCCCCCACTGGAGCTTGGACACTGGCCACACTTTCACAAAATCCTGAATCCAAGGCAACCATGTAAGATGTCATATCTTACATATTTCCCAATACAGTACTGGAACCTCAATATAATGCCCCTTGTTTTATTTGCAATCTTGTTTACCGCCAGCATATTTCAATGTTCCTTTTTTCATGTTTTCTTACCAATTCCTTATCTCATTCACCCCAGAAATTTCATAATGAACTATTCCAACCTTTGAATTGGAAGAGCTCAAATGTGTCTTTAGGGGTAAATGAGTTAATACATTTCCCTAAGTTTATTGCCAAATCCCTTTATAATGCCACACATTTTCTGGAAAATTGGTGGCAGTATAAATAGGTCTACTGTATAATGTATACAGGGCAGTGGTAGACATTATGAAATCAATAGTTTCCTTAGCAATCAAAATCATTGGTAATAAAGACCCTTTCAAAAAGTGGAAATGAAGAAATATTTTTTTTCAAATCGATTACACAATGTAAAAAATGTGTACAGGTTTTAACAGTATACACTGTGAATATCCTGTGGTTTATATACAACAAACAGAAATATTAGGACAATCGCAGTGTATTATAATTTATCTGTATTCTCCCGACAGAATACATTGTATAGTCTTCAACCCTGACGTCTCAATGCACAATTCATTCACAGGATGTCTTTAGCACTATGTGTGTCTTTTTCATCCCTGTTGGTCATATCTACCGAGCCGTGCGAGTCAGTTTCAAGATTTTACGGGTCAGACTTCCAACCCCAAGTGTCAGTTCCAAAATATTGCAGGTTCAGACATCAACACCCCAGAGGTAGAAACCTTTTGTCTCCTCGGTTCAATTATTTCATCCTCTGGGCCTTAGAAATTCAATCCCTCCTGGGTCACAACATTTATTCGTTTTCCAGCCTGTGTTCCCAACAAGGTCAGACATTTTTAACCCCTCATGTCTGACCTTTAAATCTCAAATGAATCTGTTCCAAATTTCACAAGGGTCAGTTCATTTAAACCACACAGGTTCAGTTTTTCAATTTGGACTTTCAATCTCCAGGAGTCTGACCCCTAATCCCAAGGGGCAAGACCTTGCCCCGGTCACACTTCCTGTACATAAGTGGCAGGGAAGATACCGACACGTCCTCTTAACTCTCCTTGCCACCATCCGTCTGGCTGTTTCTCGTAGATGTTTATTAAGTCCCCTAAATATAAAACAAGAGAAAATTAGACGGTGGAAGATTAGCCGTAATAAGCGGTAATATCCATTCTAACTTGTAAAAACTTGGTTGTTCTGTGGCGATTTCTTACCTGGTTGTATTGGTAACTCGTCATTCTGTGACGGACAGTATTCGTACATAACCTTGCATCGACCAATCACATGTGTTTCTCCAATTTCATCAAACTCATCGTCATCTGGTGGAAGATTGAAAACAATTTTAATGCTGTCTGCTTGAAACTATCAATGACAAAAGGCCTAAATATTGTATATAAGCTTATGATTATCTAATGTAAATTTCCTTAATGAACAAGGTAGAGTATTGCGATATATATATTTTATGAGAAATAAAAAATAAAATTCAAGTACTCGAGAGACATGGAAGAACACTATTTCTCTATCATGTACTTAAAACTTTCATAGGCAAGAACAATGTAAATCAGAACTCTTCAGTAGAGAAGTTACTAAATTGCTCCAGAGAAGACTGCGTACCGAAATCCTCGTACGTGTCACCACCCTGACTTGCCAAGGCCCCCACGGTTACCGATGTGACATCGTATCCGGAGCTTCCCTCCAACGCCAGGTTCATGGGCAACTTCAGTGTACTGATAGGAATACTCTGCAGAAATATGGGAAACGTTTGTTTACATTCTGATATGTTACACTGAAATTCATCCAATCTGAACCCTGAGTATTTTGACATTCTGACATATCCGACTCACAGCTGTATTCCTTTCTAAAACTGTCAAATAAAACCCTCGTTTTCTGACACTCTGTCCAATTTGTTGGATCTAACACAGTGTCAGATTCAAACGGGTTCACTCTATCATTTTTTTTCATTTTTTTTTTCAAATACTCAATTTTATTTCATTTTAAAACCCTTTTTTCTGACACTCTGTCCAATTTGTTTGATCTATCACAGTGTCAGATTCAACTGGTCCACTTTATCATTTTTTTTTTTTTTTTTTTTTTTTTATTTTTTTTTTTTTTTTTTTATTTTTCAAATAAACACACACATATATGTACTTAATTACATTTCAGGTTGAATGGAAGACAGGCTTTTATGATGCTACATAATTCTTATGTGAAAATGATATTTCATAAACTTTTCTTTTGACAGTTCTTAAACTAATTCATCAGGTTGAATTGAAAAAAGATCAACAAAGCAGCTGCTACTGATGAGAACAAGATATGTCTATTTTTAAAGTGTACTAAGGTAAGGTCCTTGCTGAATTTTAATTATCTTAAACTTAAGGACTAGTGTTGATCCCTGCCCTACTTTCTGAAATATCCATCTCAAATAAATGATAGGAGAGAAACGTAAGATTGGTGGTACCTGTTTATCTCGAGCTGTTTCAATGTATTGTGAGAACTTGTGTGTTAGTTTCTGTTGTCCCTCCAGCTTGGCAAGTACTGAGGCCATCTTAAAATGACTAGCTTCCAGAAAATTCATCATAAATGTCACCTAGAAATAAAACAAGGGAAACCATAGTAAATATTTCATCCCAGGAAAAAGGCAGATTTTTCAATTTAATATTTTATTAACATCTTTACTTGCTCTATTTGCCTACCTGTTGTAATATCTTTACTTGCTCTATTTGCCTACCTGTGATAAAATCTTAACTTGCTCTATTTGCCTACCTGTGATAATATCTTTACTTGCTCTATTTGCCGACCTGTGATAATATCTATACTTGCTCTATTTGCCTACCTGTGGTAATATCTCTATTTGCCTACCTGTGGTAATATCTCTATTTGCCTACCTGTGATAACCTTTGCTTGGCATCATCTTGAGCATCTTGATCGGCAAAATTAGGTCGCTGCTTGTACACCTCAACCAGTTTTTCCACACCTGTTAATGAAAAAGATTTTAGAATATTATATCCGCATGTCAACTGTTAATCAAAAGTATCTCAACGGTAACAAAGAACCTGATTGGTCCCGATATTTTACAAAGGTATCAACCTCTGAAACCTCCGAAGGGAATGTCCCTCATTGCACATTTCAAATGAGAGCGAAAGAGTGTGAAACTGAAACTGCTTTGCTCAGTTTATTTATCTTTCCCTTTTTATGTATCAAAATAACTCCATAAAACATACATTTGATTCAGACACACCTGCTATGATCATTACATACACCCTGCAGTAACTAGGTGATCATTGGACCACAGGATGTAAAATTTTGAGTTGTGTGAGTTTGAACTTGAATGAGGGAGTTTCAAGGGAGATTGGTAAATTTTGGTCAAAATGAGGGAGGTTTGACAGCAATGTCTTCAATAAAATCAATATGAAAATATAAAGGAAGCTCACCATCACAGGAATTTTATCGTAAACTAAAGACAATAAATCATGTTATAGAAAATGAAATCTATTCATGCAACGCTGCTTAGTTACCTTCTCTTCCTTTCCGTTCCCTCTCTATTGCTTGTCTCAGATACAGCAGGTAGTTTTGTAGACAATTTTTTCGTCTTTCGCCTTTCATGCTAAATTGCATATCTTCTGACTGTATAAAAATACCAAAATGCACAGCTATGTAATGCGACAACATTTGGATCACAGAAAAACATGACCATATAAGAGCAAAAACAACATATAAGCAATACACATACTACAAAAACGTGTTCATTGGAAGTGGCAGTCAGCAACATATTGTTATATAGAAGAATATACTATACTTGCTGACTTTTTGAAATTTCCATGGGGAGATTATGATTGTTCGGAATTAAAAGCATAAATAAAATGTATATATGTACACTCTTGCACTTTTTAATGGCATTCTTTTTGCTGTTCTTTCAGATGAAATCATCAGATCTTAGAAAATCGGAATGATTTATCAAATTCTCTAGTTGAAAATACTCAATTTTAGGATTCAAAATCGGGAGTTTCCCTCCAGTATAAGGAGAGTTGGCAAGTCTGATATACCCACATGCACAAGTGAATGTAAACAGTAAAACGTACATAACAGTCTAGAAGAATCTGCTCTGGTGTGGTCTGGGTGGATCCTTTCTGTTGGACGATTGTCCGAAGGTCTGACTGAAGGTCAACAGAAATAACAGCTTCGTGGAGACGGTCACAACTCTGAAACAACAAGGGCGTTATTACCGATTTAGAAAACTGTCCTCTGATTGCTGTCAGTGTAGAAAAGTTAAATCTTAATTAAACTCTTAAAGAAATACAAGTCATACATGTATACAACATTTAATAAAAAATGTTTTTAAGCAAAAACAATCCCTGCAATGCACATGTTAGATCATCCTCAGATACCCACAGCTGATAACGTTTCGCTACTCACTCTTCATCATGAAATCAGCCTAGGGTATCCGACGATGATGATAGATTTACAGGGTTTTTACCTTCATGCATAAAAATATGTATTTTAATTAAACCTCCAGCGTGTTGGCACAACCTGACAATGCCAGTCAGGACCCTAACATTACTGTGATGAATGCTTGTCTTACCTGTATAAAGTGTCACCTCTACCTACGATATATATGTCGGAACCCTAGCAAGACCTACCTGTGCCAGCCAGAGCCCTAAACTACTGTGATAAATGTTTGTCTTACCTGTGTAAAAGTTCACCTCTTCCTACAGTTAGAGGTCATAACACTAACAATACCTACCTGTGCCAGCCAGGGCCCTAAACTACTGCGACGATGGTTTGACCTACCTGTGCCAGCCATCGCCCTAAACAACTGTGACGATGGTTTGACCTACCTATGTGAGCCGTGGCCCTAAACTACTGTGACGATAGTTTGACCTACCTGTGTGAGCTGTGGCCCAAAACTACTGTGACGATAGTTTGACCTACCTGTGAGCCAGCCAGGGCCCTAAACTACTGTGACGATGGTTTGACCTACCTGTGTGAGCCGTGGCCCTAACACAGAAATGTGGCTGTTGTATTGGTTTAGATACTCCGACATTTTATTAATTCTCTCCTCCTCTAACGTTTGTAGCTGTGCACTTCCCTGAAAGAATAATATAAACATGTACACTTGATATATACACAAATGAAAAAAACATCTGTTAACAAAAACTACATTTCATTGTTTCAAAGAATATCAAAGAAGGAAATAAAATTTTAATAAAAATGTTTTGAAACAAAAACACTCTCATTTAAAATTCAAAAATTCTTCAACATTCAAACCAATTTATTCATAATACATTTTTCTTTCCATTCAGGAATATTTCTGAAAAAAACATAATTATACAAATCTACACAATTTCCTAGTTAGAAATAATGTACTTTCTATATTTTTTTCTAAAATAACTCAGCAATACAATTGGAGTGATAAGGTTTTATGGCACTATTAGTCCATGGCTTGCCAAAGTAATCTGGTTGTCCGATTATACATATATGTCTACTGCTGCTTTCCTTAATGAAAATTGTCTGATAGCCCTATCCTTCTCTACCCGAAGCCAATCTCAAAATCAAGTCTCAATGGTTGACTTCCCCTGAATTGACCTTTTAATTAATTGTATTTTGTGGGGCGTCAGGTCAGATGAACACCAACTGCCACCGGTGTACAGAAATTGTGCCTCCGAAATGTCTTGATTGTCATTCCGCTTGGAACCCAGAGGGTACCAAGTGTCAATCACAACAAAGGCCCTTTTTATTAGTTAATGTTCACTCTTCGCTACTTATGCTGTGAAAAAGTGCAGTGACACAACTATAGCTAATTTGCATACAAATTAGTTTTGCATAAATTTTCCTAATATATGTTATTAAATTATAAAACTGTCTTTAAAATATACCTTTAATTACTATAATATACATTTTGCTTAAAAAATATTTCATTAAAACTTTCATCTTGTGATTAAAAAATGCATTTCTTCATCTACTGGTACAAACATAAACGGGAGATAACTCTTACTGGTAAATAACAAATTTAAGGGGAAATAACTCTAACTGACTTATAATATTTTGTTAGGATGGTGAGGAATTAGTACATACTGTATTGTAATTCCCCTATTTTTTTGTTTACTGTATTACAACCTCCCCCTTTTTTAAGTTTAAGTGGAAAATGCAGCAAAGATACACTATTGTCAACAATGTTTTGCTGATCTCATCTCCATTTTTATATAAAAGTTCCCCAAGGTGTGGTTTTCTTTTCAGAAATGATTTATCGAAACTATATAGTTATGCCAGAAAAAAATCAGTTTCCAACGCTTAGTTACAGATTTTGTCAGTGAAACAGCGATCCTTGATTGTGTGGTCCACTGTTGCAGAGATTCTAAGACATAGATGATCTAGTCATTATTGCATACTGACATATTTCACACTGAATTATGCTGACTTGAAGGAAACATTTATTTGTTTTCATAAGCTGACAGTCTAATTATTGTGGTAGACCTATTTTTAAAAAACTGCGAACTGAAGCTTATACTTTTGAATTGTGTCAGGAAGTTGAGATATAGCAAATTAGGAATCGGATTGCTATCTGGCGATATATAAAAAAAAATCAAATACACCAGATTATTGGTGGTACCAGCATATCCATACCTTACACACAGAGAAATCCCATTCCTGACGGGCGGCCTCTGCCTTCTCACATAACTCGCAGTAGTCTTTGTCTGCTTTTCGTAACATCTTCGCTGCTTGCTCACATTTCTTATCCAACTGGAAAATTTTAAAGAAAAATGTATATACCACATAGCTGTACATCAACTTTATCAATCTGTAAAAGAACACTTAATATCTGGAAAATGCATGGAAATCTCAGCTTCTGATTACTGTTAACTGAATTTAAGTATTGCAGTAGGATTTTTTTCCTCATTTGCCATGCTGAGAAAAACATAAGCTTTTAATGTTATTAAATGATTGAAGAAATTTTAAATATGTGTAAATTTAATGATTTTTCTATGCAACAAAATTCACATTCGTAAGAGGTGACATATATCTGGTCAGGTTATCAGTCTACACCGAGTGTAAAATTCAAATTTTTCAGAAAACACAGCATATTGCATATAAACAAACCTTGGACATCTCTTTCTCGGAGAATTTTCCTTTCCCTGCACGAGCCTCTGACAGAGTTTCCTCCCCTTTCTCCCGATCCTTGGCAACAGCGTATGTCCCTCTTTTAGCCTAAAACAGCAAATAATTCACATTTTTGAGTAGGTGAAGATTACAAATTACATGCCATTACAAAAAACTATTTCTGAACGTTGTTCCGATTCTTTACATGGTTTCCGATGAGCATCAACAGTAAGTCTTGCTTGTCACCCGTTGATCAGCTTTTTGAAAGGTGCATAATCAATGAATCTGCTTTGCTTTGAAATTACACGTTTTGGTCGGGTCTACCGATCCTGGTTTTTTTATTGGCAGACATTTATGTCTCTGATGGAGACCTAGATAATTTGCTATCCAAGATGGAATCCGGCGAACTTCGAAGAAAAAGTCCCTTTTTCATACGATCGCTTCGGTCTAGTTCGCTTTGTATAGGTCACTTTCACACAATACTGCTGTAATGGATGACAATTCTACAAAGTGTTGGGAGCGTATTGACTGTTTAAATTTAGAATGCTTGTTTCAAAAAGGTGGCTCTATAGCTTACATGTCTGTTATTTTTAACCTCACATCATCAATTAAAACAGAGACCCATTAGTTGACATGTAATAAGCTATTAGTTGTCACAATCTATGGTACAGTTAGGAGCTGACACCTCAGCGTTTCAGGAACAATGGTTATTGAGTTAAAACAGTGTCTGGTAAAACTTCAATACCTCGATTTATAACAAGTCTGGCTGTCTCATGAATTCAATCTCAAATATGAAATGCCAAGGGCCTGCTTTTTTTATACAGAACAGCCGGTAAGTCCGTTTTTAAATGTGACATTTTTTGGTATAAATCCCGGTGAGCCTGCAAATGTTTATGCAGGCTTTGCAAGGCTTTGTCAAGACTCGCCTGAAAGGAGCATCAAATTACTGGGTCCGACCTTGTTTCATAAACGAACAGCTCTGGTCTAACCAGTTCAACCCGTTGGACCATGATAAACGAAAACGGCCCAAGGTACTCAATGAAGCTAGTAAACATACCTACCTGAAACATACTCCATCTATTGGATATAAACCATACTCCATCTATTGGATATAAACCATACTCCATCTATTGGATATAAACCAAACTCCATCTATTGGATTTAAACCATACTCTATCTATTGGATATAAACCATACTCTATCTATTGGATATAAACCATACTCCATCTATTGGATATAAACCATACTCCATCTATTGGATATAAACCATACTCTATCTATTGGATATAAACCATACTCCATCTATTGGATATAAATCATACTCCATCTATTGGATATAAACCATACTCCATCTATTGGATATAAACCATACTCCATCATCACTGTTAAAAGTGTTTATCTTCTACGTAATCACTCAATTTTGCTGTTCTTATTTACCTTGTATTCCTCGGCTCTTCTGTCTGTCAAAGTTTTCAGGCTCTTGTCTACAGCAACCTCTATCTGTAAGGAGAATTAAAGATACATAATCATTTACTTTATTTATTTTAATGATCTTGTTTACCACATTCAACATTATTACCACCCAGGATGCTGAAAACTCTTAACAAATGTGGAAGCACTTTATATGTAAGAATGATTTGTAACAGCATTTTTCATTTGATAAAAGAATCTTTTTGAAAATTTTGAAGTCTTTGCAAAAGTTTGTTCAGCAAAAGACTTGGTTACTGCAAACCTACAAAGTTTAACTTTACATATTTTTAGGGGGTGCACTAAAAAGAGTAATTATTAGCAATATAATATTGCACAGTTGAGATACAAAGTTAAATGGGCTGTCTGATTTTTCTCCTCTGCTTTCGTTTTGCAACATGGTTGACATGTTCTTGTTAAATAGGAGTTGTTGACATTTTTGTTTATTGCTGAAAAAAATACCCACGCTATTAATAGCAGAAACAAGGTGGCAGAGGGCACTAGACAAGAACACAGGATCAGCCCATTAGGTTTTATATGGTATCTCTAAAAAGATTAACAACGCTAGCTGTTCTGTCAGAGTATAAAGTATATTATAAAGCAGATTCATTTGGTGGAGGGCAGTTTTGGCAAATTAATGAATTCATATTATACATACATGTTAAAACTTTTATACTTTATTCCAGATGTTTATCAAAAAACAACGCATCGGACAAGGAAAAATCCCAATTTGATTACAGTTGTCGTATTCATCTGTCATGGAGAAACATGTGCTTGAGATCTTTAAAAATGATTGCAAATTGATAATCTGAATAACAGATTTCATGAAGAAGTTAGATATTAAGGGAAAACAGGTTGACTATTCATCAGAAATAGATAAAAAGCCTTTCCCAAGTCTATTGTACTGATTACTTCCCTGATCTGATATTTTTTAAATACGTGACTGTACATTATATCAATTGCCTTGAATTAGGCACTTAAAAACAGTGTTTTATTATGTAAATCATAGGTAGCAGAGTACAGTAGAAATGGCTTGACCCTAAAAATAAAGGGCATGTCTCGGATAAACATGAATAGCGGATTCATCCTGCACAGCACACCAACATATATACATATATTTATAAACTACATTTTGAATACGTTTTTTTTAGAAGAATGATTATTTTTTCAAAAAGTGATTTCCCCAGATTTGGGACTTGTGAAAACCATGGTTACCACATCAAAAAATGCAAAAAAATGCAAAAAAACATGGTTTTTAACCCAAATATTTACACATGTGCTGAGTACAAAAATAGACTACATGAAAAGCTAGCTTTTGTTGTGTAGACACAGATCCGTAAATGGCAAATAATGTAGTCTCAAGCCAAATTCCTTTTTTTTTATATTTTTTTTTTAAATGTGAAACCCATATAGTCCAATTCATCATGTATATGCCAATTTTACAGCTGATTTTTTTTAACTGTTGATACATGCACGGACTTAGACTTACCGGTAGATAATCTAATTCCGTGATACATGTAATATTACAGGGGTTATTCATTGTACAAAAATATCACCCATGGCCACCATACGCTACTGTACAACGCTACCACAGAGTAAGACTGATATAAAACTGTTACCAGCTGTCTCTCTTATCCCTTTCACCACTGTAGACCCTAATGGACTCATCCACATCAATGCATGGTAGAGTCTACTAAAGTTATATAGGAATAAAAGGGTTAAAGTAACAGGAATTCAATTTACAACAATTTTGTTCAAATATGATCTGCCCCCAAGTGTAACAAACACTTAACTGTAAGAAATTTCTTGACTTAGGGATTTAACAGAGAAACGTTTTATCAACTGTAATGCTTTAGAAAAACTTAAAAAGATACAGGCTATATTCCTGAAACTGGAGCCTGTAGGTTATGGTTTAATGACCTCCACTTGACCCCAAAATACGATATTAATTTGACATGTATATATACACTAAAGTTTATTAGCAGATGATGATCATAATGTGAAGTTATTCAGAAATATTATTAACCTCCATTCAATTTGTTATTAGCTTTTGCAAAAAGAGCTAGCTGCAAGCTATTGCGAATGTGTTTATCTGTGAATGATTTCTGCCAAGAAAATATTTCATTACAAAAAGTGTAGATAGTGTAAACAGATAGTCTTGACCTTTTGAAGATTGAATCTGACCTCACTAATGTGTGCAAATATTTGCTAAGGTTACTCCCAATCTGAAGATGAAAATGTTAGCATGTATACATGTATAAGGCTGGGAGAACACTCTGGTCAGCCTGTGATGAAAATGACTGTAAGAGCTATGGTCTTATTTCTAAGTGACAGCAAACCTTTTGCAAAGGGAGTTAGGGGGGGGGG